AGATTTTGACAGGCACAGGATACGAGCAGGTCATTGTTAGGCACTCCTAGCGCTACCTCACACACACTCGCATATCCCACACACACACAAACATGCATATATTTACATATATGTTGAACAATCATGCTGCCGTAAATTACTGTGTTGAAAAAAGATTTAAACCTTTATATTATTGTTATTTCTAACAATTTACATGTAAAAGATGCTGAAAGTTTAATTTTTCTTGTTAGTACCAAATGAAAACGTTAATAATATCATAAATGTTAATACTTCTCATTAACTTCTCATTAACTCTGTTCCTGTGTCAAATAAGCATGAGATCCTGAACTGTTTCAACAAACATTTTGTTGCTTCTAGTTCTTTATTTGACACAGTTACTAATGGAAAATCAGCCATTTCCCCTAATAACCAAACTTCTACAAATCAAATCCCTCCTACAAGTCAATCCTCAGTTAATCACACCTTCTCTTTTCCTCCATTCTCAGTTAGTGAGGTCAATAAACTGTTAAAAGATCTTGATCGTAAAAAATCTGCAGGTCCAGATGAACTTCCACCTTATTTCTTAAGGCTGGCTGTTCATATCATCACAGTCCCTGTGACCCACATCTTGAATCTCTCCATAAGACAAATCTCCATCCCAGATACTTGGAAAACAGCCTTTGTTCTTCCTTTGCTGAATGGAGGTGACCCCACCTCACTGAACGATTATCGACCAATCTCTAAACTCTGCATTTTAGCCAAGGTTCGAGAAAAACTGATAAACTCTCAAATCAAAAATTACCTTGACTCATTTAACATCTTACCTCTCCATCAATCTGGTTTCAGGAAACAACCCAGCACAATGACTGCTTCACTGAAGGTTCTTAATGACATCGTTGAAGCACTGGATGCTAAGGATTATTGTGCTGCACTTTTCTTAGACCTGTCCAAAGCTTTTGACACTGTGGATCATAACATCTTGCGTCATAAGCTCTCAGAAATCGATTTCTCAGAACACACCATTGGTTGGTTCTCTAACTATCTTTCAGACTGGAGGCGTTGTGTTTAACATAATGGTACTTCCTCCAGTTATTTAACAGTCAACAATGGTGTACCACAAGGCTCAGTCTTAGGACCCACACTCTTTACCATCTACATACATAATCTAGGTAAAAACATCCCTAATGCATCCATACATTTCTATGCTGACGACACAGTTGTTTATTGTCGAGCTAAAACTGTTGCTAAGGCTTTCCGGCTTTTGAAATCTGCATTTAACAACATCCAGACAGATTTGTTCCACCTCAAACTTGTCCTAAATGCCGACAAAACCAAAGGGATGCTTTTTTTCAAATAGGAAGTTGGTCCCAGCAGTTCTTCCTCTGATTTCATCCTCAAATGGTGTCCCGATTGAGTTTGTTGATTCCTATAAATATTTGCGTATCTTGGTCGACTCGCATCTCTCTTTTAAGCTCCATGTAGAAAACTTGGTAAAGAAACTGAAAGTTAAACTGGGTTTCTTTTTCAGAAACAGATCCCATC